ATCGGCTCATACTCTCATTGATAAGCCCCATTAATCTCCATAGTCCTTACCTGACCTGAGCAGCATACTAAATGGCACGTATGGATACACAGAGATGAAACGCGTCACTGTGTCCATGAGAGGCTGACAGATACCAGCAGTTAACTCCTTCTGAATGTCTCCTGGAGAGTATGGGCACACGATGAGAAAACAATCTCATTGTGCATCTACAAAGAAAGGCCATTTAAAAAAATATTCAACACCAAGCTTGTATTTTTATTTCCGATAGTGACCTTATGTTTAATCCAGCAACTTTCGTGGTGCATCACCTGGTGACACTGTACGTTAAAGCCTTCAGGCAAAAGAGACAGGCATGCAAATGGTACAACAGTATATTAAACAGAAGTAAAAGTTAGGGCATGAAAGAGAGTTCAGGATTTGAAAGCGCTGTCTTTGCCAGATCTGATATAGGCTGGAAGATCATTGCACTGCCCTTGAGCAGTGGACCAGACCTCAGGGTCTCCTCATGATCCCACGTTCCCTAGACAAGGGAACTAGTAAACAGGGGAACGGGCCTAATTTTAAAAATGGGTGCAAAGTCTGACTATGGTTGCTACTGTAGTTATGCTTTATTCCATTTTAATCGAAGTTGAACAAACTTTCTTTTCATATGTGCATAGAGAATAAACAGTACAGTTCACTTGTGTACTGTAGTCCGGCGCAGAAAAATTCAAGCCCTTAAGGCTGAGCAGCAACAATGTAAAGGTTGCTTTTGTCATTTATACAGGGGGTACTGTAGCTTATTAAAGGTGGGAGTAGGATCTGAGGACCATGTGGTGGGTTTTAATGTAATGATCATTTCAGCTAGCTGCTAAGGAGAGACTGCATTAAACCCTTCAAGGTAGATTGTGCTACACTTGTGAGTTTATACATTTTTCTTGAGGGTGGAATCACATGGTACTGAATCACATCTGATTCCGGATGTTATCAATTTTAGGACTGTTGACTCTCCTAGATTGCTGTTCTTAACTGGATTTAAGAGATGGTGAATTGTGGAAAAATGGGCTCTAGGGTTACTCCTGTTCAGGATTAGCTTTCCAAACAACAGTAACCTTGTGGCAGTCTGTGCCTTACTGTAAGATTGCCAGTGTTTCCTGAAGGCAGGCAAATGAACAGACAGGCCAGTGTCCTCCATCTACAGCAAATTTCATGTGTGGGAGATTAAATGAAGTGAGGTTGGTTGTTGTGCCAGTGGGACTGAAAAATGAGATTTATATGATGGCATACCAGAAAATGCTTAATCGAACCAGCACAAGATTTATAGCCGGGGCAACTAATATGTATATTTGAAATATGTCGAACAAACTGCAGTGAGAAATATGCTCTAGAATATTTTGCTTGTTTTTGCAAACTCAGAAAATGAAGTATGGTGTGACGTAATTGTTGGAAACGTTGCATTCATTTGTAAAATTAAAAATAATACTTCACCATATGGTTTAACACTTCAGTTAGAATCGTTGCAAGACATTGACAGTATGTCAATTTTCCCAACAGTGAAGCTGCTTTCAGTTACTCTATAGAAATTGATTCAAATGTCATGCAGATGTACCCAGTGCGCTTGACACGTCAAATCTGTGGTTTCACACTTCTGCGATTTTCCGTCATTTGCGTGTTGCAAATGATGCTCTCCTGATTGGCTGAAAGCATTTTGACCCATGTTCGGGAAGGGATTGTGCTTTAACCGGGGGATGACGCTTCAGTACATTAATATAAAGAAAGTAATCACTGGAATATGAGAATTAAACTGGGAAACTGTACATGTTTTCTTAATATTGTTGCCTGTTATAAAACGGGTACATTGATTGCATGTCAAGAATGTACAGCACAGTATATACAGAACCTACGTAGCCACTTTCTGGCTGAGTTGTGTTGTAGGTGCAGTACTCAACGGGGTGTAAAAAGAGGAGGAATGAGTGAAATGATGTGTTTGGCTCCGATAATTCATCTTCTCCAATTTTTTTAACTTTGCGATTGGATGGCGATATTAGAGATAATTATTCATAAAAAGTAAGTGGTCAGTAAATGCAGTTTGAATCATAAATATTTCAGGCCACTCTTATCGTAAATTCATCAATGATCAGTTTATGTGACTGTTTCTGTGCTTCCTCAGTTTTAATTAGCAGTTATACTACTGTTTTTTGTTACTTTTTGTTAACCAGATGTAAAGTAGTATTTGTGGGCTATTTTTATTTGCCAGATACCTTTTTTTAAAATATTGCTTTACCAATACAAGTTTGTTTAATGCAACCCACATGGTGCAAATATCCCTATTTCCTTATGTGAATGCTTGGAAAATCTTACATTTGTATAGAAAGAGTACACATCCTTTCCTCATTAGTTTGGAAAGAACAGGGATTTTGGCACAACCTCTGTATGGAAGCCCTGCATTGCCTTTTATATGGATCTTGTTTTTAGCCTTTGATGACACTGTTTAGAATAGGAAATATCTAATAAGTCAAGCATTTTGTTTAATGTCGTGCCAGTGCATTTAATATATGCCTGGAGGTCTGAAACATTATCTCCACCACTGCAATAATATACGTTTAACTCTCGGGAAGGGAAGGTTGAATCTTGAAAAGCAGCAGAGAGAGCATTCTGAAGTGCTGTAATGTAAAACATGTGCAGGATGACATGGGGTGTGTGTGTGTGTGGGGGGGGGTGGGGGGTGAAAAGTTATGTATAGTAGATTTTTATGGCTTAATCATAATCATGTTAATGCACACCAGTAGCTAATTAAAGAAAACTTTTATCATTCACATCAAATGGATTGTGGAAAGAGTTTGGGAGTGGGGAGTGGGGCATTTTTTGTTCTTTATCGCTGGCCTTTCATGGATGTAGCTGTTGAATTTCTGCAGTATGGGATATGGGTTTTAGTGCAAGACAGCTCAGTGCAGGTTTCCAAAAAGACCAGAAGATTCTGTCCTTTAGCTCCCCCATCCCCATTTCCTGCAAGAGCACTGATGCTGGCGATTCAGTTTTCAGCTTGCTGAACAATTGGCTCACATAGTTTTAGGAATCTTTACGTATTGAGCATCATTTATTGCCAAGTGAAGATAGCGTAAAATGCCCTTTGTGTGCTCTTTTTTTTCATTGTATTTTCTTGTTAATATCACTTCTTATTGTAGTGGTTTTAATATGTCATGTAACGGAGTTTGAAGTCTGGGAGACTAATGCCATATGACTGAAGTGCCTGTAGTTAATTTAGCTGTGTTATTCTGCAGGCAGTAGCAAAGCATTCCATGTGAAATTAGTCATACGTCTCAGCATGAATTGAAATTAATGTCTTGGAATTGCACAATAGTCTTTTTTCCACCGAAAAAAAATAATTACAGTAGTAATTCAGATTTTTTTTTCAAGTTTAGACCCTTATCAGAACAGGGTGTGCGTATAATTTAAAGGGGAATATTTAATATGAATACTAGTGTCACACGGCACACACTGATTCAGAAGAAAAGCAGACAATGAAAAATCAGAACATACTTGGCAAAGATTTAGAAGGGAGAGTGTCCTTTAAAAATACATTAGACGTCTTTCAGTCTAAAGCACACAGCTCGAAAATATTCTTTATCTTTTCTTAAGAATGGATCTTAGTTTGAAATAGTTTGAGACTATTTGAACATAGTTTAAAGTATCTTAGAAATTAGTCCTGTCCTTATGCATTTATTAATTACAAAATGGTCTTACCATCTAACTGTGTAGTCCCTGGGATTTATCAACAAAGCAAAGCTAAAAAGGTCAGATCTCTGTTTTATGTTTCGTAAAACATCAGATCTCTGTGTTGATGCGTTCTTTTACTGTACACGCACAGTAGAAAAGTGCTGTTAATGATCTGCTTGTCCCTTTGGATGGTTCGTATTCACTAGATATAGCATCACTCACATGCAAAGCAGCTATACAAGGTACGGAAGTGGACGGTTGTTAAAATAGACCCCACATTCTCTCATGATGCCAGACAGCTGCTGAGATTATCTTGCAGTTTCAAAGTGTTTCTCATTAAGTCTCACGCCACCCTCCGGTGCCAGCTCAGTAGATATCACGTACTCATGCGTGACAGCCGGGCAGGGAGCAGGGCTGCTCAGGAGGCAAGTGGAGGAATGATGTAATACTCGTCAGGGTCGCTGCCCAGAATGGGTCAAGGAGGTTTGAAACAGATGCAGCAGTCTGCTCGCACTCCTCAGCAATGGAGAGGAAGGAGGATTCGGAGGAATAGTGGCGCAAGGTGCTGCATTCAGGGCTGACTCTACATTAGGTATCGGAGGAGGGTTTCCAAAAGCCTCTGCTCTGACATCCCTGACTCTGCATATCCCGTTTTCATGCCTGCTTGCATTTTTAGTGGTGAGGGGGGCATCTAGCCTTTATTGAAGGCTAATATTCAGTTTCTTCAACGCACTCTCTAAAGTTGCTTCAGTTGTTGTTTGTAGGCAGGGGGAGAAATGTGTAGCATTTTAACAAATAGGAGCAAAGTTTGATGAACATAGCGAATGCACTGGTGTAAGAGTAGATACATAAGTATTTCTTTTCTGATTTTGAATATATTCATAATTCACATCTTAAGTCAAGAGTTCAGAGCCCAGGTTAAGACTTAGTGAAAGATATCAATGATAAGCAGTAAGAATTGAAGCTCGAGGTCAAGTTCGGTTTCAGGTGCTTGATTTAAATGAGAAAAGAACCGTTCAGTAAAGAACCGTTGTTCACAGATTTCACCAGCCCATCACCTATATATTAATATTACAGTACACCACCCAAGAGCCGGTAGGATTTGAAAAAAGGCAGTCCCCTGTCCCTTCATTTTTTTGAGCTCATCACAGTGAAAAGTATCACTTTTTCCATACTGTAGTGCACTGTCTCACTTTTTTTATTTGTGTTCCTTTTAAACAGTCTGTTCAGTTTTATTTTTAAAAGCGGCCGTGAGGAAGTGCAGGGCGGGAGAAAGAACTGACCCAGGTTTTAAACCCTCCCAGCTGTCGGAGCACGAGCAGCGGCAGAGCGCGTCCACACGGGGCAGCGCGGCGGACGGCTCTTCGCGGCACAGCGGCGCCCGGGACAGCGGCTTCGGCAGCGACAGCGCGCGCATCCGCATCGTCCAGATCGAGCAGCTCAGCGGGGCCAGCCACCACCGGATCGCCCGGCCCTCTCGCAAGTCCTCCATCGTCAAGAACCTCAGCTTCATCCCCTTCGACGTCTTCGTCACCGCCAGCCGCGTCTCCCTCATGGCCTACTCCTGCTCCGCCGCGCCCGGGCCCACGGCCGCCGCCGCTGCTGCTACGGCGCCGCCTGACGGGAAGGAGGGGGAGAGGTCAGGCCGGAGCGCCCTGAACACGTCCGAGCCGCGTGCTGACCCGGCTCCCGGCGCTCCGGCCACGGTGCTGGGGATATCCATGCTGACTGCCGACGACATCCTCCACGGCAGCACCTCCGCCCTGGGCGGCAGGCCAGCCGGCGGCCTGCTGTCGCTGGAGAGCCTGAGCACCCCCAGCCGCTCCTCGGCGCGCCAGGCCCTGGGGGTGACGGTGGTGAGGCAGCCCGGCCGCAGGGGGGCCCCCGACGTGCTGCTGGAGCCCTTGCTCTGCCTGCAGGTGTCCCAGCCTTCCCTGCTGCTCAGCTGCCACCACAGGAAGCAGAAGCTGGAGCTCTCGGTCTTCGATCTCGCGCTCAAAGGCGTGGCCACGGACTACAAGTGTTTAGGTGAGGACGTGCGCTTGAGATCACCCTCCTCCTGCGTAGTGCCATCCCAGAGCAGCCTAATGGGGCTTTGTGGAGGCACAGCAGATCATATTGTTTGTCCCTGATAGATTTTGTGTTGTTTATAAGTGAGCCAGCTCGTGAAAGGAAAGGTGGCATGATATGGAGTCCCTACAGGGGTCTGACCATAGTTTTCTTCATTGCGAGGTGACACAGGTGTGTTGATACAGACTCGCGAGACTGGAAAGTCGGATTTTATGCTTTAAGGATCACCTGCACCCATAGCAACATGAAGGTTAAGTTTAAGGTTCAAGCTAGGGAAGGGGTAAGGTTTATTGTAAATGCCTGGCCTAAGAGTGAGGTTTAAGGCAAGCATTACAGCTAGACTAGAGTAAATGTCCAGGTTAGAGTTAAACTTATGGTCAAGTACAAAGTTAGAATTGGGGTTACGAATACCGGTAAGAGTTTAGTTTATAATAATAATAATAATAATTGCTTACACTTATATAGCGCTTTTCTGGACACT